CGTGGGGGGGGAGAAGAAAAAGGCAGTTTATATGTTCTATAATGGAAGCAACTATCCTGATGATTAAAACAGATACTGGGTAGCTTTAATTTCCTGAGCATGAACATTGCTATCTTACACTTTCATATCCTGAAATGAGCGACAAGCCTGCCGGGAAGGTAAGCAGTGAAGCTGTTGTAAAGCTGATGAAATTACACAGCAAAAGATAAAGCAACTCCCTAAGTTGTGAGCCTCTGCCACTGTCAGATGGGGTGATATTTATCAGTTAATTTATGCCGGGCATTTTTATTGCAGCCCAGTTGTACATGCTCAGCCTGCTGTTGTAAGAGTTGCTGAGCCTCCCCCCCGATGGTAGGCACTGCTTATGTTTGTTCTTTCACCTTCACTGTATTAGTCTCTTCCCCCTCCCATGTCAATGAAGATGAGACTCTTCACGTGCTCTGTTTGTCCCAGCTTTGAAAGCCTTGTGTCTGAGTCAATACAGCGGTGTGCAGTACAGACTGGGAACTTTTATAGGTCTTAGGTTGCTGATGGATATTATAACCTGTCACAGGTGATGGATGCTGGAGAAAACGAATTTTCTTTCCTCTCTATTCCATCTTCACAGTGGTTTGCTCTTGCTCCTTTTTTCTGCGGGGGCAGTAAGGGAGAAGGGTTACTTCTAGAAAATGAAATTTGCTGCCAGTGTTCGGAAGGTTTCCAGTTTTGATGTGTGATATGGTTCTCGGTGCTTTGGACAACATGATTTGCTTGCTGCTTTGTCAAAACTGCTTCTCTGAAAGTCTCAAAGGACTCTTGGCACCAAAGGCAGACAGCCTTTCTAAGGTTCGACTCTCAGGCATCAGTCCTTACAGAATACCTTTTGGGGTCTGGACTCCAGCACCACATTCATTACTGCCTTGCTCTTTCTCACTCTTAGAGCTGAGGTTGAAAACGGGAAGCCGATCAGAACAGCAGCACTTGAACTCTTTAAATGCAGATGAAAAGGAGTCAAGAGCAGAGCACTGAACCCCGAACACTAGTGCCCCTGATGCATACATAGCTTTAGTAGGCTGTTTCGCAGTCCTTACTTTCTTCTGTAATTACAAAAAAATAACTGCAATCAAAACCATATGGTTCTTCCCCTTTAGTGCCTTGATGGGAACATTTTCACAGATCTTGCTGAAGGGTCAGGGTGGAAAATAACTTGGGTGTTCGCTGCTGCTCTTTTAGTTTTTAACTGCAAATTTTAGGGAAAATCAGTTTCAAGGAGAAAAGGGTCACCAAAGGCAAATACTTCCTTAGATGGAGGAGCTTTATGTTGCTTTTCTGACAGACTGTCCTCTTATTTTTCAATATAAAATTTAAAAATAACCATGTCTTTTGGTGTCAGTCATTTGACATTTCCATCCCCAGCAAGGTCCCAGTGAAAAGGACATCTTGAAGTTGCAAACTTCCTAATAAATATTTATTGGATTGGTGCTTTGTCTTCAGATCTATTAAAGCAGT